GGCAATTCCCCAGGGACCCTTTGGACGGTGCCGCTCGGCTCGAGACAAGGGACGCGAGTCATATGCTGTGCGTTGCACAGACTTTGGGTTTTGTCCCATGGTACCTTGGATAGGGCCATGGCTTCCAGAACAATTCCCCGGCTGACTCCCAGATTCCCACATAATAACAAGGGTATCTTAAGTCCCTTGCATGCACTTTCAACAACAAATACCTACACTGCCCATTTCGCGCCAGTCCCCGCTGAATTGGAATCTCCGGTGCTACACAAACAGATGTAGTCCACAGGAAGTTGGTGTGGAAGGTGGGCTAGGACTCCGAATTGTTGCTACCTACCCAAGTTCATTATAGAGTGCCTCATCTCTGCACCACTAATCTCTGCATTACTCACCGCTTATTCATCGCCACTAATTTGTGGTTTGATTGTTGTAAGATTGTAGGGGAACAGACCGGTGGATGATGGGAGGGTCTCATTCGCTGTGGAAAGCTCCAGCCTACTTGATATTGACTGTAGTTGTCAGCCATCACGTACCTACTCAGCAAGCACTCTGGGAGTATCAGTTGCTGACAATGATGTAAGCCTTTTGTCATTCAATCTCAATACCGCGAACTTGGTGACACGATCCATCGTATCCCAAAATCTAAGGCAGCTTATCGTGGATAAAGTGAATCGCGCGCTTCGCGCCGCAGTGTGGCCTAAAGCTATGCCCCAAAGACTATCAGATACCTTGGTCGCCAGTTATCTGAGACACCAATTGCAGCCTAATACCTACTAGCTATGAAGACGTACCGAGATATGCCAGTATAACAGCAGTATGTAAGAAATAGCTATACTGTAATAGGCACTGCTCAGGCTGCATTCGCAAGTTCTGGCATAAACAAGTCGAAGAGTCGTAGGTTCAAATTGTGAGAGAAATTAAGGACCTTGGGTCTTCGAAGCGTATAGTGATCAGTCGAACCGAACCTTTGCTCATGATACTATCGACAATGTGTGTGCTACCTGTCAGCGTTCTCTTTTCGTTTCTCGCCTTTTCGGCCCAGGGCGCCCTCGCCAATACCGTGTTCGCGGGTAGCTTGGACGATTCCACCTCGTCGTCGGTACAAAGCGCGCCCTGCCACCTGATCGGCGACCCCGACCTTTACGAAATCAGCGTGCGCTGCGCTTTCTATCTGTCTTTTTTCACCTGTCTCGTTGATTTCTTGTTAAGCTTGGTGGACAAGTCCCGAAACCCACGTCTCAGCTTCAACATCCTCTTCCTCGCCAATGTCATCACCCTCATCTGGCAAGTGCCGGTCGCAAGACTACCCTCAAACTCCAAATCATTGATCTGCAACGTCCGTTCCACGGTAGAGATAACCATCAGCCCAAAAGCGGTCATCGCCGCCGTGATCAATGCCACGACGCCTTGACTGATAGCCCGTCTAATCTTGAACCCTTTCCTCCACGTACACTTTTGGGGGTTTGGCGTATTGGGAGTGGTTCTTTTCGTCAAGCCGTAACAGTCTTCTTCCTTTGCATTTTCTTTCCCCTCAGGCTCCTTGTGTGAATGTTGAAGAATATAAAGTATCCGCTCTGCCTCGGCAATACTCGATCCTTCTCGTCATCCAAGAGCCTGATGGCGATGCCAAGAACCTGGTATCAGAATAAACCGCCGAATATGCATTAGGCGGCGATGAACAAGAAAAGGGGGTGTGTAAGACAACGCCAACGGTATAGAGGGTTTTCAAAGCCCGCAAAATCGAGGCGTCGTACACTTCAAAAGCCTTGCCGTTAAAGCCTTGCCAAATAGCAGAGCGCCCCCCCGTAACGTCCCAAGTTTTTCATGGTGGAGGAGGCCCACAAACGTATAGGAGGAAACGAAACCCTGTGCCGATAGGATCGGCCAGCCATGGTCGCGTCCACCACCCGGTAGCATACCATCTCGCAAGGTCATGTGTCACTGGGCGCATTCACTTTATCGTTGATGCCGCAGGTGGCTTGTTGCCATGGACTTGGAGATAACGTGGAACGGTAAGTAGGCGCAAGTTGAATTTGTTGAGGACGTTTACGTTGAAGCTCGGCACTATAAGCGCAAGAAAGGGGATGAGATTGAACTGGAACACCATGTACCATTCGAAAAGCTACGACGCTCCCTAAGTTGGCGTTGCGGATGAGCTACTTTCGCTGCCTGTTGCCACGTTCACTACGCTCGCATTTTTGTGGGTGGTGTGGAAAAATTGGAAAGAGAAGCACTATTGCCTCCTTCGACGCCTGGCGGTAGTGGCATTTAGTATATCATCACGGTATTGACTCCATATATAGCAGTGTTAGCTATCGAACAATAGAGTGCGGCGACTTGATTTTTTTTTTTTTTGGGACGTATTTTCAAAAACAAGACGCCCACAAACAGGCAACGACAACGACACGTCTACGGAAGACCCTTGCCGGACCAATCGGAAGTACAGGGCAGCAGGTCCCTCTTATTGGCACACGTGGCACAGGCGGCGTGGAGCTTCATCTTCTCGGGGGCCAGGTGGGTGTAGTAGGCCTTTTCGCTCCTGGTCGGCTTGTTGCGGCACAGGAAGCACTGGGGCTCGGGCAGGTGGGCGAGGAAGTCGCCGGTGGTGCGCATGGCGCGGAACATGTCGAGGGCGAAGACGGGGGGGGCCTCGTCGAGGAAGTGGGTGAAGGCCTCGTTCTGCAGCAGGTAGAAGCGGGCCGTGTGCACAAAGGTGACGAGGGCGTGGCGGATGGGCGACGACGAGGACGACGACAGCGCCGACGTGTCGGTCAGCGGCACGTCCTGGTAGATGAGCTTGACGGTCTCGAAGAGCTCGTCGAGCCAGTCGACCGGCTCGTACTGCATCTGTACGGGGCCGAGACGGGCGTCGAAGTCGGCTGCCAGCGTGTCGAGGGCGATCTTGGCCAGCGAGGTCATGGCGAAGTAGTCGGCAACGGTGTGGACTTCGTAGCAGGTGACGAAGTTGGTTTTGCTGCCGGGCCGCAGGGCGGGGATGTCGCAGACTGGAGGGTTGGCATTGATCGGGACGACATATCGTGGACGGGGGAGGGACTCACTGCCTGTGTAGATGTAGCGGATGAGCCACCCGATGGCTTCGGGGTCAAAGTTTTGGATGTCGACGTGTCCCGTCTTGGACTCCTGTTGCCGTCAGACCTGGGTCGAGACAAACATGGCCCGGGTAATCCGGCATCAAACCCACCTCGAAGCGTCCAGTCAGGGCCTTTTCGAACCACACGCTGCGCGTGCAGAGAATGTTCTTGTGCAGGCGCCATATTCTGTCGCCGCATTTGACAGTGACATCGCTGAACCAGCCCGTGTCTAGGAGCCTGGGTTGGCGGTGTTAGCTAGGTAGGGCGCAATGCGAAAGACGTTCGCAATGCGGAAAAACGCGAATACGACGCGTCCTCGGGTCGCGCGCCAACTCACTTTTCGTCCTCGGTGAGAAATCGGTTGTCCATTTCAATCGCCCGGGCGGCCAGGTGGCTGCGCAGCTCCTGCCTGGATGGATTCACATGTGCAGGGCCCGATGTTGTCGAGCCGAAGTGGTGCAAACTTTGACGGTTGATTTATTGATTGATTGATTTGTTATGCATGGTTTTGCCCCAAAGGGGCAATGGCACAGCGGGGCTCTCCGAGTCCCCCGCAAACGCAAAGGCCAGGGCTAGCTAGCTACCCGAGTCCACTAATAGGAGATCTGTAACGCGGTTAGGCGCTAGGGTGACGAGGATAGGGGGTTGGGTTGCAGTGCAAGATGATGGAACAGTGGTTAGGTAGTTGCAAGAAGATCAATTGAAGCCTGGATCACTAAACAGAAGTTGGGTGGTCCAGGGCTATTTTCTATCTGGGCCAGAGTATCTGGAAACGGTAGAGTGATTTGAGGTCTCGTTGTGGCCTGCGTCCCGAACTATCCCGCTCCTTGCACAGGACTTCCGCGGAGGTGTTCTTTATCCTGTGCTCTGCATCGCTCAACGGTGCTCCCGGCACCTGCACTTGCAAGTGTGTGCTACACGGTAACTCTCTAGTACTCTCTATAGGTTAAGATATATAGAGACATAAGAACCTTCTACTCCGTAGACTGGTATCAGATAACCCGAAGCCCTACGTACCGCCGGAACTAACGTATAAGTGCCTGGAAAGTAGGCTTTTCTATGCGAAAGAGGTCCTTAAACTACGTATCTAACCTATTTAGCAGAGTCTCTACGAGCTTCCTGGCATAATCAGGATCACCTAAATAGATAGTATCGCGGCCTTCTTCTTATAGGTCTTTGAGTTAGCTCCCACGGAGAGTACGTAATTTGCCTTTACTCCTAAATAGTACCTCAATGGCTATAATAGTGGCTATAGCGAAAGCGATATTAGTAATTCGAACAAAGTCTATTATATTCGTTATACTCTGAAATAGTTTTTTGTAGTAATTACAAACAAGGCTATGATATAGGATAAATTAAAGGCACACATAATTTAACAATTCGATACCGAGTTATCAGACAGCCCGAATTCTGACTGGTGATAACTCGGCTAGCAGTGGCACAATTCAGCAAGATCGGCGATCGCTTTCTCCCAATCCGGAAAGACTTGGTGGCTGCATTAGCCTAAACATTGAAGACAACTTATGTTTTGTTACGTGGATAGAAAAGAGTTTGGAATCCTATAATCAGTGGCGATTTGGGTGGTATTACGAGGCTAGCGTTTCCGAAACTCCGATATTTGCAAAATTTGACTGTCTGACAATTTGGCAAGTGTGCAGCCGATCAGACCCTGAGGAAACTTGAAGCAATCACGACAAGGCACATTTCGGATGCGATTCTCAAGGGGATCAAGCTGTCAAAGGGGCTTTTGCATTGCTAGGCCTGGAGGCTACATATCAAAGTCAAGACTTCTTTACGGAGTGTGACATCTGCAGACTCCAAGTTGTACATACTAAGTGGATCTGGGTCAAGACTCAAACTCCACAATAACGGCTGGCAGGCCATTCACAGGAATGACAGGCAAAAAGGTAGTGACAACGGTGGGATTCAAACCCACGCCCCATTACTGAGACCAGGAGAATTGAATTCAGGTGGACCTGAACCTGGCGCCTTAGACCGCTTGGCTACGTTGCCGAGTTGTATTGTTGAGTGTGTTTTGCGTGTTTGTCGCCAAGGCATTGCGGCGGATATTGCGAAATGAAAGTATTGGAAAGTGCGCCGAGGGGAGGAAGGAGTGTTGTCTGTTGTCAAGGACAAAGGAAGGAATGAGGGGCTCAAATTCGGCAGCCCAGCCAAATTTCGTCTGATGCGCAAGCAAGGGATCCGTAGCCCATTTTCAAATGAAATTTATTTGTGAAGGGAGATGGAAATTAACGAAAATCAAGGCAATTCTATCAGCGTATATTGTGCCCCTCTTGGAAGCTGGCGATAATGCTATCTAGAGTCTAAGACAAGTCCCGAAAGTTCTCTAGACGGCCACCTTTTCTGTCCCGCTCGACGAAGCCCCATCCTGCCGCACTTCTTCGTCTGCAACCAGGCCCTTGACCTTGGGCGAGTGCGACATCTGCGGAAAGAAGACGCCCGGCGGAAAGCCCGCCAGCAGCCCCGACGCGATCAGGACCATGAAGGACTCGAGCACGACAAACGACGGCTCGTCCTGCATGATGTGGTTCCCCCACCCCCCCGCCATCTCGGCGATGCGGTAGACGCACCGGATCAGCAGCGCCGAGTAGGCCCCGAGCATGGCATACAAGAACATGCGGAACTTGGCATTGTGCCACAGCTGGACGCCCCGGTCCCCCTCGGCCGCCTCCCCGCTCTTCGCCCACGCCCGGACCCGCCACAGGTACTCGCCGCTCAGGCCGCCAAACAGGCCCAGCACCAACACCTGCAGCACGATGCCGGCAATGACGGTGCGGTTGCCGTGCTGCAGCAGGTCGATCTTGTCGCGGCCGGCCGCCGCGGCGATGCCTCCGCCGATGGCCTGGATGACGAGGCACGAGACGTCGGCGGGGACGAAGAAGAGGGGGTAGGTCCGGGGCGGCACGCGGCTGAGGCCCGGGTTGAGCGCGAGCACGATGTGGCGCAGGGTAAGGTAGAGGCCGACGCAGACGAGGGTCGGGCCGAGGATGATGGCGACGATCTGCGTCTTGAAGGCCGACCCGTTCCACGGGTTGGACGCCAGCTGCACGCGGCCGACGTAGCCGGCGCACTCGAGCACGCACCCCGCCGCCACGGCGATCGAGTAGCCCCACGTGCGCTTCCAGATGCCGAATCCAAGCGTGACCAGTGCCGCCAGCCCGAAGCCGGCCGCCAGGAAGGCGTTGACGCCCTCGTTCGGGTAGTACCCCAGCGTCGTGGCCCGCACCGGGCAGAAATCGGTCACTTCCGAGCACGTCTCGTAGCTCGGGCGGAAGGATTGCGACGCCATTTGGTGGTGATGGTTATGTACAACACGCAGTGTGTGGCGACGGTTCGGGTGTTTGGTGGTTTGGGGATTATCGGCGGATCGACATCGGGGGTCGGAGAGCTTTTGGGTGAGGGGGGGGAGCCGGCTCAAGAGAGCGGCTGAGTCGCGGATAGAACAAAGGAACACACTTTGCTAATGGGTTTAGGGTGGAGGGGGGTTACTAGTATTGACAGAGCCGTTTTGACTGGGTCTAGCCCCTGTTGGAACTTATTGATGATGATTAATTCCTGCCGCGCCATTGTTCTCCATCATCGAGCACACCGGGTCCCGCTTCTTGGCGCCCATAGCACGTATGGGATTTTGATCAAAAAGTGCGCGATAAGCTGATTGCAACGTTGGTGCAGTGTTGCGTGCGAGAGCCAAGACGGCGAGATGCGAATTAGTAGGGCGAGCTGAGGAGCCTCATCGGGTTGTGCTGACACCAACCCGATTAGATGCACCCGGGGCGTTGGTTGTATGCGCATCCTTCTTTGAGCTGATTGGCGTGTAGCCTGAAAACGAGCCGAATACGATTATGGACACGTCCCGGCGTCGGCCAAGCATCCCAAAAATCCCAAAGTTCCAGACCCGGATCCCGGGTCCCGGTTTCTGGCAATTTCGGGCGCAGCACTGCCACGATGGACTTTAGATATCGCCAGGGACCGGTTTCCGCCCATTCCACGTCCCGTGTTTGTGCACGTTTTGACCAATACTAGTGTCAGTTCTGGATGCATCGTCCTAGGTTCGAGTTTGCATTCCTGTGTTCTGTGTTCTGGTCAACGGGCCGACAGCCCCACACGACCGGCTTCCGAGAGTCCGGCTTCACGGAGTCTAGCGCCAACCCGAGCCCACCAGCCCTGTCTGTGAGCGATTGAGAATTCTGGCAAAGAGCCGAAAACCTTACTTAGTATTGGCTGGAGTGGTCTGACAGGGTGACACAAACACGGGACACTTCCAGTCGGAATTATTAGACGCATGCATGTGTCAGATCGAGACTAACATGGCTTCTGCTTCCGCATTCCAGACTGGTTCGTTGTCAGTGGGCGATCAACTACCCGACCTTGACGGCCGGACCAATCAGTCGATGGAACGAAAGGAACTTCTCGACTCGCCTAGCGTCATGTCGGGAACGACGGCTTTGCCCGAAGTGGCCGTCGCCAATACCAATAAGAGTACCGATCCCGCTCGGCAGACGCCTGAATCTCTGATATCGACACCTGAATCCGTCGGCATAAGCTCCCCGTCCTCAACATTGCAGCATCCCCTGGGATACGCCCGCCGCGCTCACAGGAAAAGTCGGACCGGCTGTGCCACATGCAAGGCGAGGAAAATCAAGGCACGAAACCGTTTGACCCAAACCCGCTCGCTCTCCACTAACAGCTGCTCATCAGTGCGACGAACGCCATCCGGCCTGCCTCAACTGCATATCCCACGGCGCGCCCTGTCCCTTCCTCACGGTAAAAACCGCCCCTCGCCGGCCCGGTAAACAAACCCCCTCCCAGCTATCACCCATCCCGCCCTCCCCCTCTTGCCCCTCCCCCTCTTGCCCCTCCCCCTCTTGCCCCTCCCCCCTCCCACCCCATCCCTCCGACGCCGACGCCGACAACCCGCCGCTCCCCTTCCTCGAACTCGAGCTCCTCCACAACTTCACGACGCACACGTACGCGACGCTGGCCGCGGACCCGGCCATCTGCGCCTTCTGGCGCGAGGTCGTCGTGTCCATCGGGCTGGCCGGGTGTCCCTACATCACGCGCACCATCCTGGCCATCTCGGCGCTGCACCTAGCCCACCGCCGCCCGGATCGGCGCGCCCACTACACCACGCACGCGCTGCTGCTGCACCGCGCCGCGTCGCGCGGGGCCACGGCGCTCATGGGTAGTGGTGGTGGTGGTGGTGGTGGTAGGAGTGGGGGGATTGCGTCGTTGGATGATGCGGTGAATTTGTTCTTGTTTAGCATGTTGACCATCTACTTTGGTAAGACCCCCTCGTCCTCCAGGGAACAAGGAGCAACCCAGTGACGGACGCTGACGGAGACTCCAGCCCTCGCGAGCCCGCGGCGTTCGCTGCCCGACGGGTCCTTCTTCATCGGCGACGCGGCGCTGCCCGACTGGGCCTTCCTGATCAACGGGGCCAAGTCGCTGAGCGCGGTGCTGGGGGAGCAGGGACGGGACACGGTGCTGGCACCGTTCCTCGAGTACGGCGGCCGGCGGTGGAGCGCGCAGCGGGAGCCGGACGGGAGAAGTGCCGGGGGCGGCGGGGAGGCGGCGGGTGGTGTCGAGGTGTTGCGGGCGCGGATCCGGGAGGCGGTGGGCGGGCAGCCGGCGTTGCTGGCGACGTATGGCCACGCCGTGGATGAGCTGGAGCTAGCGCTCGTAGCGAGGGGGAGGGGCCGAGGGATGTGCTGGATGCCATGCTCTGGTGGGTTCCCCCGGTGTGGACGGCTCGATGAACGGAAAGCTGACCTTTTCTAGGCTTTGGGAAGTCTCAGACTCCCTCGTCCCCCTGCTCAAATCGGACCCGGCCCGAGACCTGGCGCCGGCCCAGGAGGCCGTGGCCATCTTTGCCCACTTTTGCATCCTGCTCAAGCACCACGAGAGCCACTGGTGGCTGCAGGGCTGGGGAGACCATCTCATCTCGCGCGCGTACGACATCCTGGATGCCGAACACAGGAGCTGGATCGAGTGGCCCATGAGAGAGATTGGCTGGGTGCCTCCGTGCGTGTGATGTCAAGAATAGAAGGGCTAGGTTCACCGTGTTCCCGCATATGTGAAAAAGGTATTGATTCCGCGCTCCCCACGAGACTCGTATACGCTCTCAACGCCAGGAAATCCAACAATCAAAAGAGTCAAAAGCTGCGAAGCATCCCTGGATAGCCACATCTATTACAAACAATCATTATCCACCTCAAAACGGCCACCCGAAAAGACAAAAACAAAGACGTTTTTCCACCGCTTGCCGGCGCTGGGTATTTGCTCAAAAACATGTCAGTGTTGCTGCGGCTCGCCACCCATCTAGAAACCGGCGGTAGATAGCTTTGCAGCAAAAGCCTCGCCACTTCCTCAACTCCGCCCTACCCTGTGACTCCTAAAGACTCCTCGGTCTCTCCAGTACCTTCACATCCGCCGTCTTAGGCCTCTTGCCATCGTGCGACTTGTCCTTCACCTTGGCCTTCTGATCGTGCAAATACTCCCTGAAGCCACGGCGGATGTGTTGGCGGGCGCGCTCACCGCGCAGCGACGTCCAGCTGCGCAGGGGCAAATCGAAGCTGCGGTCGTCGTCGTCGTCCGCGGACGGCTTGGGCCGCGGCTCGGCTGCAGGCGTTCCTTCCTTGGTCGCGACGGGCGTGGCAGCATTGACTTCGGTATCGTCGCCGTCCAGCACCGACTTGCCAGAACCGGCAGGCTTCTTCTTGCCCCACGGCATGCGGATGTGGATGTGTGGGTTGAGAGCCGAGACCCAGTGATCTGGCGTCAGCCGGATCAGTATGCCCCAGGGGATTGAGATGGCGCCGAGACCGATCGAGAGTCCCCACTCCTTGCCGTTCAGCGGATGGATCTTGAAGGCGGTGCTGCCAACGAAGATGATGAGGACCTGGCCGCCAATCATGATTAGGTTGATGACAATGAAGAACCAGTTCTTGGTGATGCGCTCAAAGATATTTAGATTGTTGTCCAGCCGCCGGTTG